CCAAAAAAAAAAAATCAAACAAAAAATCCCACAAACTTGTCAAGAATGGGAATCCTTATGCACTCTTGGAATTTGCTGAGGTAACAGAACTGGGTTACTTTCATTGCCCTTTGAGGAGGTAAAAATCAAGGTGAAAACGATCAATGTCATCCATAAGTGATGGCGTTAATCAGCAGTAAGCTTACACTATCACTTGCTGCAACGTTATTCTGATTTCTTTTTGTTTTTGTTTTAGTAAGAGTTTTTTTTACAGCAATTTCAATACAGTCTAGATCACTGAGACCTGGCGATCTGTTTCTTTTAAAGAGTTCCCAGGAGAGAATGAAAAAAAAAAATAATTGAAAGACCCTTCGCCTATCTTGCTCCACCTGTTTGGAACTCCCTTCAGCAACTCCTGCGACACACCCTATCTTGCTCCACCTGTTTGGAACTCCCTTCAGCAACTCCTGCGACACACAACATCATATCCGGATAGCGATAGGAAATGTTCTACTCTAAAATTGTCTCTTTTCACCTTCTTTTCTGCTTTCTAACATTGTTCTGTCGTCTGTTTTCATCTCCACTTTCTGCCTCCATCCCCTCATCCCCTTTGCCCCCTCCTCTGGGTTCCTGACTCTTTCTGCAGCCTTTCTACTTCTACCCCTTGGACCCTTCTTACTGCTATCTTTCAGCCACACCCCTGATCTTATGGTAGGTAAAATCGAACACCTAGCCTTCTCGGATAAAGGCGAAACATCTTGGAGGTCCCGTGCGCAAGTTGCGCACGTTAAAGATCTCTTGGTGGTCCCAAATCGATAAGAGTAGGCTTCGGCATCCTCCTGAGCAAAATTCAAAATTTCCTACCAATTGAAAATGTTAAATGTGCCCCGTGCGTCCATATAAGGTTATCACTTAATGCAGTTGCTAGTGTAGTAAAACGCCTACCAAAAAAAAAAAAAAAAAAAAAAAAAAGAAGGGAGAAGGAGCAAACAACACCAAAGCATCTGCCAACAACCCACCTGGTTTCTTGAAACTCAGGGTTGACAATGTCTATACATGTAATAGTTAGGCCGCTTTAACATGTTGACTCTTACCGTTGGTCGTTGCAAATATAACTATACTGTAATATCTAGGTTGTTGCCACTTTTAGATTAAATATACGGTTTCCACGTGTTCTTATTTGTCACACATCTGTACGTCACCTAACCTTTTCCGTCATTACCAGAAAGGGAAAAAAAAGCCAACATCAGCAGCTGATTGGAACAAAATAATGTGAAACGGAGTTAGTTCTCAAAAATTGATCTTAAGAATTAAACACGTCGAACATCAAGTTGATCTTTACAATAACACAAATTTGACGATACTGCAAAAAAAAAAGAAAAAAAAAAAGAAAACCATTGTCGCGACACGGCACTCCCTTCTAGAGTCCAGAGTAATTAATCAAACTCGAAAACTAGAGCTACTGTACCCCACGAACCTGTGAATCTCCTTTGCTGTAACGTATGTACATGTATTGCGAAGAGAATGAGGGGGGGGGGTGTATGTGGTGTAAGATCGTTGCAAAATTAAGAACAAACAACAATTAATTAAACGTATGACCTAGCTTCCGTCTTCAATGTTCATCTTAACCTAAATTTCTAAAACCAATCTCAAGCTAGCAGAAGTCAACAGGATAGAACCAAGGCTAGTTATCCTCTTTGCATGACGGCGTTCATAACTCATTCGACCTCATTCCTGGAAAAGGCAGATTCCCATTGTTTCATCTGAATCCAAAATGCCACATACTATTACTATTATTCTTCTCACCAGATTTTCATTTGGGTTCGATCCAGATACATATTTACTAATTCTGCTGTTATTGTTGGAGAGAATAACCCAAGAACGTGACAGCAATTGAAAGCAGTGATTTGCCAGTTTGCTTAGGCACGAGCCGATAGCTCGCAGACTATGTCAACAAACAAAACTACATGAATTTTATAGTAAAGAAGATCATTATGTGCCATTCCGTCGATAAGATGTTATTTTCCTGCTCGTTTTATACTCTTTATTTTGCTGTTGTAACTGTCATTGTTATAGAAAGTTCTGGATTCTGCTGTTGTAGTCACTGTTGCTGCTGCTGCTGTTGTTGTTGTTGTTGTTGTTGTTGTTGTTGTGTTGTTTTTGTAGTAGTAGTAGTAGTAGTAGTAGTAGTAGTAGTAGTAGTAGTAGTAGTAGT